TTGTCCTTTTCACTCAAGTCATCTTTCCTTTTGACCCAAAAGACCTGGAAAAACATCCCCCGCCCAAAAAAAAAAAAGAATAAAAAAGAAATCAGAAAACAAATTCCTGCGAAGAGCTGCACTTTAATATTTAATCACGTGGTATTTCTGGTTGTTACTGTCACTTTTCATCATCAAGAAAATCTCATCTTTAATCATGCTTTGAGGTGGGGCTTGTACAGGTATCATTCTGACTCCCACAGTTGTGGGTTCTGGATAGAGAGCACACATACTCTATCTAAGCTTGATGCTGAGAGACAGAGACAGAGACAGAGAGAGAGAGAGAGAGAGAGAGAAACTCTGTCCTCCCCTCCTTTCCTCTCGGGCTACATTTGTCCGTATGATAGAGGGACAGAAATGGGAAAGTGTATCTTTTAAGTCAAAAATGAAAATTCAAGGCTAAAGCAATAGTAAACCCAGAGACAAAGAGTACTTTATTATAATATTAGGCAGACTCCCTTACATGTTTGTGGTAGGATCCTTATATACTAAGGAAACATTTATTTAGTAAGACTAACTTTCTATTTGAGGTCTGAATTTTGGCATAACAGGTCAATCTTTCTGTCCTGGGGTTTCTAACTAGTTAAATGCATTGGCATCGTACAGCCTATACTGGAAAATAAAGGTCTTGTTTATTAATGTTAATAAACATTAATGTATAACTAATAATAATTAATGTCTTGTTTATTACTGATTCAGGGAGGTGACAGTATGTTTCTTGGTACATTTTCAGTTAACAGTAAATGTACAAATGAAGTCTGTTGGCAATTTAGCACTAAGAAAACCTTAACTGCTGCCTTTTTTTCTTAGATGAGAATGAAGAGTTAAAGAAACTTGCAGAGAGTGAAATAGCTTTGTGTCAAAAAGAAATAACCAAGCTGAAGCATCAGGTATGCTCTATGAATAAAGAAAAACATATTTATGCTGTTAACGCTTTGCGCATTTTATTTCAGGCTTAGAAAAGCAATTTGCTATTTAGATGGATTTGCTTTTAACTTTTCCTGCGTTACTGACAACAGAACCTTTATCTACTGCAGCTGTACAATGTTTTGCATTCTTCGTGATTGTATTTCCTGTCATCCTACTTTCATCATGCTAAAAGAAGTATATAGCTCTAAGAAACTGTCACATCAGCACTTTTTGGAAAGGCAAAAGAGTACTAACAGCTTTTTCCTTTTGTTTGTTTTAAAAGGATTGTGGGAAGACAGGTGGTAGAAAGGTTTCAGTGATGGCCTGCCAGCGTCCTGGGGCAAGGATATGTCTATCTCTGTGCCTCTAGCACTACTAGAGTACCAGTTCTAAGGTTTTCAAGTCACAAGTTTTCCATATTTAAGAAGCTTAACTCAAAAATGCAAATTGACTTAACAGTGTGAGGAACTGGAGTTCCAGGGGATCCAGTGCCTTCTTCTACCCTCTGTGGGCACTACACACACATGGTGCAATCACATGCACACACATGGTGCACTCACATGCATACACGTGGTACAATCCCATGCAGGCAAAACATACATACACATAAAATAAAAATATTTTTTAAAAATTTATTTTTATGAGTGTATTGCTTGCATATATATGGTTGCATGTGTGCATGCAGTGTACTGCCAGAGGCCAGAAGAGGGCATTGGATACCCTGGAACTGGATAAGGATGGCTGTTAGCGACCATGTGGGTGCTGGGAATCGAATCCAGGTCCTCTACAAGAGCAGGCAGTACTCTTAGCCGCTGAGCCCTCTTTTCAGCCCCCTAAAAACGTTTTTTAAAAAGAAAGAAAATGAAAACTAAGTGCTTTTGGTTTCTCTCCACACAGGCCTAGGTTTCAAAATAGAGAAATTGTTTTCATTCTACACATAGTATAATGTCCCCCTCACAAACGTTTAATTCTTTAATTTTCAGAAATTTCATTTGCTAATTGTGTAGGTGCATGCAAGAGTACAGGCTCCCAGGGAGGCCAGAGGAATCTGATCCCATGGAGCTGGAGTTGTGCAGTTGGTAGCTGTTGAGGACCAAGCTCGGCTGGGTCCTCTGGAGGAGCAGTATGATTCTTAACCACCGAGCATTCTCTCCAGTGCCTAATTCAGTGTTTTTCTTTTTGGTCTCCCTAGTCCCGTCTGTCCTGGAAGTTACTTTGTGGGCCAGGATGGCCTCAATCTTGCAGAGATCCCTCTGCCTCTGCCTCCCAGGGGCTGATTAAAGGTGTTTGCCACCATGCCCAACCAGTCCCTAATTCTTAACTGAATAAACAGTTGATACAGAGCATATACAAATTCCAAAAGGAGGGGCCGGGGATGTAGCTCATTTAGTACAGTGCTTGCCCAGCATGCATGAGGCCCTGGGTTCAATCCACAGTGCCATATAAAACCCAGTGTGCTTATACATACCTATATTCCCAGTATAACTAGAATCCCATCACTCTGGAGGTGAAGTAGGAGGATTAAAAGAAAAAAAGAATTCCAAGAATAAAAACAGGCCTATAAAATTTAAGTTTTATAGCATTCATAATTGGTTGTAACGTTAATACTTACTGGAAGTTATGTGTACTACATTTCTATTTCACAAAATTGTCAAGAGTATTGAGCACCATTAAATTGTTTATAGAAACTTGGGTTAAATATCTAAAATTCCTGTACCTAATTACTTAGCTTCTGGTGGGGTTAGGTTTGAAATAATTCTTAATTACAGGAAGAGTGATATCTTTATATTTACAGATCATCTTACTTTTGGTTCCCTCAGAAGAGACAGATGAGAGTGATTTGATCTTGGAGGTAACTGCGGGTGTTGGAGGCCAGGAGGCAATGCTGTTCACCTCCGAGATGTTCAATATGTATGAGCAGTATGCTGCGTTTAAAAGATGGCATTTTGAAACTCTGGAATATTTCCCAAGTGAAGCAGGTCAGTAAATTGTTTTCGTAAAACGTAGGTTTATCTACATTGTGTCCTGGGAAAAGGGTTGGCAAGATCACCAGAACTAATTTGTAAGAACTAAGTAGTTTTATCTCATTATTTACCTAATGATTTTGAAGAGAAACAGTCATTTTGAAATAACCTATAAAATATGATGGATACTCAGTAATAAGCACTAAGGACTTTTAAAGTGGTTTTAGGGTATGCTGGCTCATACCTATAATCCTAGCACTCAAGAGGCTGAGGCTGGATGATTGCTGTAAGTTCAAGGCCAGCCTGGTCTACATGAGACCCTGTTTCAAAAGCAAGCGAAAAAAAAAAGAGGTGGTCTTGTAGCTGTGTTGTCAATTCTCTGGCACTGTAAATCTCTTATATTTAATAACTGTGAACATACAGATTATATATTAAAACACTGAGTACCATAGACTTGCTAAAGTTCTTTAATTGTGTTGTGTGTATTCTCCTGTGGTTCTTTTAAGTGCATTTCAATACAATACCTGTGACGGTCAATTATGTGTACATGGCAGGAATGATAAAAAGAATTCCGTTTTCCCCATATTCTCAAGGTGGCCTTAGACATGCGTCTGCCAGCATCGGAGGTCCAGAAGCTTATAAGCACATGAAGTTTGAAGGTGGAGTGCACAGAGTACAAAGAGTGCCGAAGACGGAGAAGCAAGGCCGCATCCACACTAGCACCATGACCGTGGCAATACTGCCTCAGCCTACCGAGGTAAAGCTTAGTAATGGGCCCAGCACTGTGTCCCTCCCCAGAAGCACTGAAGACCATCGGTTCCTCACAGACTGAGTTACATTTGAAAATTCAGCTCAAGAAACATAACTTTACAATAGATAGCAAGAACTGCAGGTTTCCAAATGGTTCACTTTTACACTGTTTTTCTCCACCACTCAAACAGGCACTAAAACTGAGACTATCTCTATGGATCAGATGGTGGTAAGTAGCCTGTTTAAATGGGGACTGGTGGCCGTGACAACTTTGCTTTCTATGGTTGGTTCTAAAAGAATAATCAGCATAAAACAGTTGCTACTTTATAACCCAAACACGTTAAAGTGGAAATATGCTAGTGTTGATGAGTATCCTTTATCTTCACAGAGTAAATTCTCCATCTGTAAGAAAACAATTTCTGTTATGCATAATTTTCCTTCTAATAAAAAGTGATGGGAATTGTTCACTTCTTAAAAAATAAAACATGATTTGATGGTTTCTACTTACTAATTTTAAAGAAAAAGAACTACTTAACTCTGTGACAGGGTTATGAGGTTTCTTTCTTTAGGTATGATTTTTGTGTGACTCCTGAATGAGGAACAGAAGGGTTAAGGGGGGAGTGAAATATAATCAATGTCAGCAGCCACATGTAGGTTCAGGTCATGGGGTCAGTGTCTTGGAGGAAGTAGGACCTTTTTGGAAACACAGGAGAGCCAGGTCCATGCTTCATCTAGCTCTTCTAGCAACTCTAGCAGGAGTCGCGGAGGGCTGGGTTACTGCAGGATTAGAGACATGCCTTGGAGCAGACCATCATTGTTCATGGAACAGACCTTTCTAAACCTGGGGCTTCTGATGGTGACTCCCAGGACAAAGCATTAGCATAGTCGATTCCAGTGTCCATGGAGGGAATAGCCTGGGCTTTGAGGCCTTTGCCTCCAGATTGTTAAAAAACAGTATCAAAATAAAAATCCCTGCACTTAGGCTGTCATCATTTCTGCTTCCTCTGCTAAACTCTTTGAACTTAGGAATTTTTTTTTTCCCTAGTTTTTAAAATTATAGGTGTGTGTGTCTGTCTGTCTGTGTCTGTATGTGGGCATGTGCATATGAGTGCAGGTGTCCTCAGAGGCCAGAAGAGGGCATCAGATCCCTTGGAACTGGAGTTACAGGTGGTTGTAAGCTGCCCAACATGGATGCTGGAGCAGAGCATGAATTCTCTGTAGGAGTACACACAGGCCTAACTGCTGAGCCATCTCTAACCCAAATCCCCTACACGTTTTCTTTTCCTATTTTGGTTTGGTTTGGTTTTAATCAGGGTCTTACTATGCAGCCCTGGCTAGCCTGGAACTCAGTTTGTAGACTAGGCTGGCCTGAGCACAGAGAGCTCTGTCTGACTGCTGCTTCTGGAGTGCTGGGATTAAAAGTATACCCAGCAAAATTTCCCATTTTTTAGCAGTGGTTATTCTGCTGTTTGTGAGGAAAGCAGCCCAGCTTTGGGGGATTAGAGAGGGTAGCTTTTCTATATTATGTTTTTATTCTTCATTTAAAAGGGAGAAAAAAATCTAAAAATAATATCCTTCTAACTACTGTCTATTCTTAAAATGTAATTCTTACAATTTGATCAATTCTATGTGACACATTTGTAAGTACATAGTTCTTACCTTAAGACAGTTGATACATGTACTTGTTCTTTTAAATCCCAACCTTTCTTCCTATGTTTAGATTAATCTGGTGATTAATCCTAAAGATTTGAGAATTGACACTAAGCGAGCCAGTGGTGCTGGCGGTCAGCATGTGAACACCACAGACAGTGCTGTTCGGATAGTTCATCTTCCTACAGGTGTGCACTTACTCTTTTCAATAGAAAACACCGAATCAAGATCAATTTCTGGGGAATTGACTAATTTTCCACTGAAATAGGCCTTTGATTTATCAAAAGAATATGTATGATTAAGGATTGTTACTACTTACCTGATTTACTTAGCTTCTGTAGCTGATATTTCCTAGGACAAAGCCAGGAAGAGGGAGGGACAAAGCCCAGGGAGCTTCACATTAGTCACCAGGAGAGAACATAATAGTCCTTTGACAGCTTTCTGAAATACGTACTGAAAGAGACTTAGTTATTTTCAAAAGTGCTTAGTGAGGTAAATACCATAAATTGTTTATCAGAAAATATTCTAAATCATGAATCGTTAGCTTTGGGAGGGAAGAGCATAACAGGTAACATGGACTTTTTAGATAATAAAAGCACTAGTCTTCCTACACAGACCATAACACAAGCAAAGTTTTGTGTATCATTTCAGGAGCATCTTTCCATTGAGATCATTCATAGACCTCAAGGTAACTGAGATAACCAGGCCAAGGACAGTATGTAACTAAGTAGGCTGTGTCTTTGAAACGTTGCTAGAGTGCCTTACATGTGGTAAGGAGCATCTGGTTAGTAGGGCTAACAGACCTTGGTTACCTAGAAAATACACAACTGTCTCTGTGACTGAGCTCAGATTGTTACAGTTCCCATTAACCAGTTGTAGTAAAGAGTGCTGGACTGATAGGATTTAAATGGTAAGGTAATATATCTTATCAGGTTATATAAACAGAAATAGGGAAAAAGGAAATCCTAAACTGTACTGTATTATCTCAAATAATAGGATTTTTAACTCATATCTTAGTTATTCTTTTTAAAAAAAAATGATAGCTAAGGATATGGGAAAGCAATCTGTATCAAAATTATTTAAGTTTAATGTCTTTCTTTTGTTAGATTGCTGTGTTCCTTCCCTCATAAGGAAGATAAAGAATGAGAAAGAGAAAGAATATTTCTTGATAATACAGAAAAATTTTCTTCTGAAACGCCTTAATTCTCGTAACATTTTTTAGGTGTTGTTTCTGAATGCCAGCAAGAGAGATCTCAACTGAAAAACAGAGAGCTGGCCATGAAAAAGTTACGTGCAAAGCTTTACAGCATGCGCCTAGAGGAAGAAAGAAGTAAGAGATGCAGTGCCAGAAAGACCCAGGTAAAAAAATGGATCTAAGAAACACTTCTAAAGTACAGAAAGATGTATAGGTAATGCAGTCTTTATGTAAATAACCATTTTCATGTACTTACAACTCAAGTAGCCTGAGTATGGGTTGTGCCTGTTTACAGCTCTGTCCTGTTTTCTGTGTTCAGAGCTGTTTTTCTCAGACTTGCAAAGTGCTAAGAAAAAATAGTCCTTTTGCATGATTTTAGTCCTTTGAAATTATAGAAGAAAGCTGGAAAACAATTGAACACAGTGTTTGGTATTTGATTTTATGCCATACACAGTCCTTTTACAGTGATTCATCATGAGCATTCTTCACCTTATCTCGACTGAAGAGGGACAGAGACTACATGTACATAAAATATACACATAAACATGCATATTTCTTCTATTAATGGCTGTTTGCCATTTTGTCTGTTGCAGCATCATTATGAACAGTATTTTACAGATGGGGAAATTAAAATTTAGGTTAGAGTCATAGAGCATTGAAGGGCAGAGACAGGATTCAAGTATTAAGTAAGGTCTGGTTTTAAAGTCTACATCTTTTTCTCTGTATCATGAGCCCCTGTTGTTCGGGGATTCAAGGTGCTAGTTTAAGGTGTCCTGAATCTAAATGCATCTCCCACTTTTTTTTTAGGTTGGAACTAAAGGAAGATCAGAGAAAATAAGAACATATAATTTCCCACAGAACAGGGTCACAGACCACAGAATAAACACATCCCTACATGATCTTGAGACTTTCCTGCAAGGAAACTGCCTTTTGGATGAACTTACACGGTCCCTGAAGGAATATGCTGATTATGAATCTTTAGTAGAAATGATTTCCAGAAAAGACTAAGCTGCCTTACTACTGAAGCTCTTTTTATATAGACTAGAAAAAGTTTACAGCAAATCCATTGTTTGTAAGTACTCAGCAGCGTTCTCTTGAGGAACCTAAGTTAACAGTTGGAATATGCATATTCTTAGGACATGATTATTAACGCAGTTCTCTAAGTACTGGAAAAATGTACAATTATAACTTCATAAATCTTGAACTCTTTTTGTATGAAGGGTAGACAAAAAGGAAAGTAGTTGTTTTGGGCAAAATATTTAATGGTGATCAAAATTTTCAAATATAAAACAGAAATATGATACATATTAGTTTTGTGTCATTAAATCAGCTAGTTAATGGAATTAACAAGAGATAAAAGTCAAATACAAAATACACTAGGACTAAGAAGGGAATTTGTTGGACAGAGAGAATTCCCAATGAAAGCCTTGTAAGGAGCTCCCTGTCCCCATGGTGGAACCAGGCATGCTGCAGGTGTGGCATAGCCCACTCAATGCTGGAAAGGTTCCTAGGCTGAGGCTGGTATACAGCTGGTAGACTGGGCCTTGCAAGCAGAGAACCTCAAACCCTTTAGGGTCGGTAAACTTGAAGCCTCCTGTCAAAGTGTGAAGAAAATACACTGGATGCTAAGCCCTAGGAGGCCTCTGTGTCAGAGTTCACAGAAGAGCAGCATGACAGTGGGATCTGTGTATAGAGATTCGTGTTAGGATGAACCAGCATGACTGAGTCCCACTAATCCAAACTCTTCAGTGGGAGTCTGCTGGATAGAGACCACAACAGACTGATGGTTCACTTCTACTCCAAAGGCATTTTACTGCGGAATTCACTCTTGCTAGGAGGAGGCTGGGTCTTCATTATTCAGACCTTCAGCTGACTAGATGAAAGAAGCGCTAAGATGAAAGGCAATTTGGTTTGCTCAGAATTCGCTGATTTAAATGTCAGTGCCATTCACAACATCAAAAGATCTAAAGTAATGTGTTACCAAATATGTGGGCACCAGGTGTCCAGTGAAGTCTAACCATCATGGTGTCCAAGACTGTCCCTGGTGGCTGTGCTGTGAAAGGAGAGTACAGAACAGCCCTCAGATGCTTACAGTGTCCACCTCCACCGAGTCCTGACAAGCTTCACGTGGTGCCAGCAGCAAATCTTAGATGTGCCCCTGCCAAATCCAGGTGGTGTCCATGTGACACTGTATGTCAGCTTCACAATGAGGGCCCTACGATTCCCTTCTGGAGAAGGGGCTTTGTGAAGTGTCCTGTTAGCTTGCTCCTCTGCCCGATGAGAACACAGAAGACTCTCAGGAGACAATAAAAGGCAGCACGTGGGTGTTGTCGTCACACCTTCCATCTCAGTTCTCAAGAGGCTGAAATAGGATCCTGGATCCTTGAGTTCAGCAGTGTTTTCATACTTGTTTAATGTTGGAAGTAAATTACAAACCTGATCCTTCACCTCTAAACAGTAGAGCGTGTACTTTCAAAAAAAGTGACATAATTCCACCTAAACTTACACCATCATCACTTGACAAAATTCTTGGTAAATTTGGAATATCTTCAAATACCTAATAACTCAGATGTCTCTATTTCCCCAGATGTATTAGAACTGGCTTTACACTAAGATCTGAGTAATTATGCATGAAATTTGGTGGGTTTACCTCCTAAATTTCTCCATCTGAAAAAGCATTGTCAGACCCCAAATCCTGCTTTTCATGACATTGCCTTGAGTTTTCATCTGTGACGATCAAACTAGATACTCTGGTGCCAGCCATTTAAGTTACTCCTCAGTCACTTTCTTTCAAACTAGATATTAAAGCTTGACATGGCTGGTTTCACATGTCCATTATCTTTTCTTGTGACTTAGTAGTGCTGTCACAAAATATGTGTTTAAACAGGGCAAGTCTGAGTGCTCTGATCTGCTTTACTGAGTTGTCAGATCCTCTAGAGTCCAGAATATTAAAACAGGAGACCACGCCAAATATGCTACACTGTACCCAGGTTTGTTTGAATCAACAGCAGTCTGAGCTTTTAGGAGTATATATATTTAAAGTTCAAAACTATAATGTGCTGCAGTCAATAGCAGCCAAAGTCCATTTAAAGCCCCACTTGTAACTCCACTTGTAACTTGTAGGGCACTGTATACTGTCTCCATGCTGCTCTGAAAGGAAGTTGCACAAGAGCCATCAAAGACAGGCGAAGATTTTTCTAGCTGCCTAGAGTGGATATTGTATAACCGAGGGACTGAACAGAATCCCTGGAAGGGGTTCTACCTTGTGAATATAGCTGAACATTCACCTGCACGCACTGTCACCATTGTTCACCCATTTCAGTTTCCAGGCTCCTGCTCTGAACACCAGCTACATAAGCACAGATAACCAAACATGACTGCCTTTTACCCAGTCCTGCTCTAACAGATAGTCATTAGATTCTGTTAAGGGAAAGTTACCACAAATCTGCATGCTCTCCTCTGCACCATCTCCTGCTCCCTTATCCCTTCCCCCTGTGAAAAGAAAAGGCATGAGACCTGTGGGTTAAAGGTGAAAAAGAGCCTTAGATCAGTTTTTAAACCATCTGTGCATTAGAATATAGCTGGTTAGAACTATCTAAAGCTTGTGTGAATATTTTAATAATGTAAGTGTAAAGTACATATCAGGAACTTGAGATGCAGCTCAGTGCCACCGTGCATGCACGCTCAAGGTCTAGGGTTCAATTCTCAGCACTGCAAAAAATAAATTTTAAACTAAGATGCTTACCACTGTGTGCACTATCAACACATGCAGGGTTACTGGCAGTTTGATCTGTGAATTCATACTGGCCTCCTACTTCCCTAGCTCAAATGTGATTTTGGAAACCCGTTAAAAGTAAAGCATTATAGGGGCTGGAGAGATGGTTCAGCAGTTAAGAACACTGGTTGTTCTTGCAGAAGACCTGGGTTCGAATCCCAGTACCCACATGGCAGCTAACAACTGTCTATAACTCCAGTTCCAGGGGATCCGACAGCCTCTTCTGTCCTCCGCAGGCATTGCACAACACGGGTGCACTTACCTATACGCTGGCAATATACACATAAAAATAATAAAATATGGAGAAAAAGTAGAACACTATAATAGTAACACCAGAAGCCTAGGAGGATGCTAATTCTAACATTCAGAACCTTGAAGTGGTTTAAGCCTACACCACGTACACAACCATCTCACACCAGGCACTGTCATTTCTACCTGTGTGACTTATGCTGCCCACTGTGCCTAGAAAAGACTCCACTAAACCTCTTCAGGCAGATTTCAAGGTTCCCAAAAGACTCTTTATTTTCAAGACACAAGTAACTACTTTCATCTCTTCCATAATACTTAATGCTGTGGTCTGAATGTTTCCCCCAAAAATTCATAGATTGGAAACTATCTCCTGGATGCAACAGTATAGGGATGTGGACCCTCTAGGAAGGTGTTTAGAGCTATTCTTGATGGGCTAGACAAAGGGCCCAAAGTTTGGACTTTTTGCCCTTAATCTTTAGCCTCCTGATGACGCGGGATTCCTCGAGCAGCCTGGATACAAGGCAGTGTCCTGGAAGTAGAAAGCCGCTCTCGCTAGAGGCTAGACCCTTTTTCTTTGCCTTCCTATGTTCCAGAACTCTGGGAAGTAAGTTTCCATTCTCTGTAAATTACCAGACTATGACACTACTGTAAGTAGCACAAAATGAACCAAGATGATACCTGGAAGACAGTATTTACTGCAAAGTGGTAAATTTACTCCTTCATTTTGTCATAAGAATGTGTGCTTAACAAAGAAATGGAAAAGGTAAGTTAGAGCTACATAGTGCAAATCTGTCTCAGAAAAAAAAAATTCATCATGATTATGCTCAAGCATCATTTAAAGTCAACGATTAACCTGACAAACTGAAAGGAACTATGACAGATTACTCCAGCATGTAACAAAACATGCTTGGCTCCTTGTATTACCTTATAGTATTATAGATTCAGATTTTTCCAATAACCCATCAGCCATTTTCTGCAGGAAGAAAAAAAAATACTGAAGAAAACTTTAATGCTATAGTTAAGATCCTAAGATTACATTCTAGGTGCTCAACTGATTTACTGAGCATGCTTGCCTACCTCAAATTGCTTTATCTCTATATATGAAAATAAAAGAGATGAGAACAGTCTCTAAGGTCAAAAAGCATAGAAATGTAAAAATGTACCACAGCAACCAGGACTCCAGCAAGCTTCCCCAGGAGAAGGCACACCATTTTTTAATCCCAGACTCCTAGACTGTTTCTTTTAGCCCCTGTATCTCCATGGTCTTCTGCAACCTTCCCCATCAGTAGGATTTAAGTCTACTCTGCTAATTTTAGTGACCACAGTGAGAACTAACATATCAAAGCACAATCATCATAAAATGAAAACACTAAGATTATTTTAAGAACGACAGGTTAATCTTAACATTTTTCTTGACAGTACTGTGATAGGTTTCCACTGCCTCTAAACCCCGAATTTTAACTACATACAATACACCTATGGTCTGCATCCAGAGTTATTTCCAGTTAACTCATTAGGCAGGCTATTTTATATATCCACCTCCCTTGTAACTGTTCAAATATTCAATCAAAAAATCACTTTTGCTATTCTGACCCCAGTCTCCCAACTCCTCCCAGCCTGAAGAATTCCAGCCAGACTTTCTGACCTCCCTGCTTTTTATGGGGGTCTTTGCAAGGCCAGCCCAAAGTTCAGATAATGGTTCAAAGTTTCAGGATCTTTCCTGGCCTACTAGATCTTTATCACACTGTTTAGTATCTTCTTAAGATATTCTTAATTGCCAGTTTCTTGGTCATTGGTATGTAAACTCCCAGAAAGAAAGGATTTCAGTCTTTTCAGTCATTTATCTCCAGAGGCTTGGACCTCAGGTGCCAAACTGAACTGGCAGCATAGGTTTCGGTAATCAATACTGCCTAGGTTTTAAAGCAACATTTTCAGAAGTGAAATGCAAGAAAACTCAGGATAAACCAAAATAATCGAGATAAAAACAAATCCACCCATTACGCATTCTACTCTCGGCCCCGCCCTACACTGCAGCTGTCATTTACTTGGAACTTTAACTGAAGTACTGCAGAAAAGCCAAAGCAAAAAATAAAAGGCGAAGATTGGAGATTGTTGCGCACACATCCCGTAGGTTCACTACGCGGCTGCACGAAGCTGAGGCTAGGTGCGCAGTCACCACTTGGGAACAAATTCAAGGCGTGCAAAGAAAGTTCAGCATCACTAATGAAAACCGTACAACATGTCATCAGTCTTAGATACACTCCCGCCATTCCCACAAAAATATTCACCCAGCCCAAGAAAAGTGGGAACCTCATTTATTCTTTTTGGTTTTGTTGGGAACAAGTCTGCTCTCTATTGCGCTAGGAGCCGTTAAGGAATGAAACAAAAATGCATAAAAGCAAATATACAAATTACCATCCGTAAAAATGAATGGTGGCTTGAACAGCTGTGGCTGAAAACTTCAAAGAACCGGGTGACCAGGAAGGTCACGCCGCCCTCTGCCCCAGGCAGGGAGAGGGCCGGGATGCCATTCTCCGCCCTGGCCCAGTCCTCGGGCAAGGGCGTTGCACCCGCCCCGCTACCTGTCCAGCCCCGCCCTGAGGGAACCGCCGGGCGCCCAGTGCGCAAGCGCCAACCCGCCAAGTCCACAGCCACCGCGCAGAGCGCGTGCGCAGAGACTCCAGGCAGGGGGCGGAGCCAATTTAGGAGGGAGTGTGGAGCGCGCCTAAATCCCAGAGAGGCGGGCCCACCGTGCAGGGGGAAGGGCTAGGCTTCCGGGAGGCCCTGGCGCCAGGCTGATCAGAGCGCGCAGCTCACCGACTCCCATGTTGGAGGCGATGGAGGAACGCCTGGGTACCGTTGGTCCCCGTCCGAGCCCTTCAGACACCAGCCGGAACCGTCTTCTGGACAGGACTCGGTGGAGGCCGGTTCGCGGGACCGCGGGGGGAGGGGCAGCATGGCGGGCGGACGCCTGCGCGGTGGGCACTGCCGCGTGCGGCGGGGTGGGGGCGCTCCGCCCTCTCAGCCCTCGCCCGCCGAGGCCCCGCCCACATCCTCAGCATCTTTCCGGCGGCCCGGACCTCCCTGGGAGGAGGTGCCGGCGCTGTGGGGCTGGCTCCACCCCTGGGGGCTCCTATTGGTCGAGTACTGGCGTCCTCCTCAGACTGCTTGCCTATTGGCTTGCGTGTGCGAGCGCCGCGCCCTATTGGCCCGTTGTGCTTTGGGCACCAAATTCAAAGATTTTTAAAAGTACCAGCTGGCGCCTTTTAAGAGCAGCAGCTCCGCGGAGCGGCGGGTCACCTGCGTCGCCGCCGTCGCCCTCGCTCACCTGCGGCCGAGCCTGCGTCCTCCGGCATGATCCGCCGCACCTGCCGCTGTGTGGCCCGGCCGGCCTCCTGCTGCTGCGGCTCCGGTGCAAGGACAGCGGCTGAGCGCCCGCGCCTGCCGGAATGTGAGTGCGGGGCTGCGGGTGGGAGCGCTGCGCCCTGGGGCGCCCTGCAGGGTGCACCCCGGCCGCGTCCTACGAAGCCGGGCTGCGTGGGGACCTGGAGCGGGCGGCGGCGGGGCTCCCCGACTCGGGTACCTGCAGAACCTGGAGGCCGGGGGTCGCCCAGAGGATCGAGTGGATGGTGCAGAGGTGGGAAGGATGGTGGGGTGCTGCCCGGGGATTCCCCCTGCCCACCCTCCCCGCCATCCAGGCTGCTCTCTCCAGGGACGGGCAGGTGGTGGCCGGCTGGGCGCGGGCTTCCCTTCTGGGAAGACCTTCCTCCCCCACCTCCTGGGCGCCAAATGTCCCCTCCCCCACCCCGGCTGTGACAGGACTGAGGGTCCCTGGGCTCCCCAGACTCCTCTCCCCCACCCGCCTGCACCCCCTTTCCACAGTGGCCCAGCACCCTCACATCGCAGCTCAGTTTCCCCAACTTTTCCGCTCCTGCGCCTGGCTGGCGGGCGCGGGAGATTGAGCTCGCGGTTATCTCCCGCCTTGTCTCCGCGTGCACCGCGCCCTGAGGGGTCCTTCCGCCACCGACCCCTCTGCATTTCCAGGGGCTCCCTGCCTGCTCCCGCCAAATAGAAACCCCTCTCCCCGCCGGGCCAAGCTCAGTAGGAACATCCAAAGAAAATGTTTTCTCCTATTTTTCCTCTTTACTCAGTAACAGTTTAAAAAGAATCCACAGGGGAGGGGTTAAAAAAGTATTTTTTAAAATTTCAAAACCGTGAATTTGCCTGTAGTATTTAGCTGATGGAAGAATTGAAGAATTGTTTGTTATTTCCCTGTATTCTTGGGGAACTAGGTGGTCATTTTATTCCAAGCTTGAGGAAGAGGGGAAGAAGGTCAGTTATTTTTTACTTTTGTTAGTTAAGAGAAATGCCCTCATACTACCTTAGGAATGGTTGAAACTGAAGAGGAAAAGGCAATTCTACATTATGTGGTAATCCTCCTACATTAGAAAAGGAATTAAGTCTTGAAGGGGAAAAAAGAAAGTAACTCTCAGCAGATCAAGTATATTTGTAGTAGATCCAGGATCATAAATTTCCCTTAAAAATCTGAAATTTAATGGCTTTATGATGGGTTTTCTTAAGACCCCACATGCCTGTCTTAGGAAATATTTGCTGCCTCCAAAGCCATACCTCATTTGCAGAAATGAATTGAAGAAATGAAAACTTTACATGACTACATTTAAATGTTTTTGGAAATTGGCTTTTTAGAAGTTTTCTCTGGAGGTTATGTCTTTGGCTCCTCTCATGGTCTCAGTACAGAAATGACCATGCGTGGCCTCAGCCACATCCTGGTTATCACTAGGTACTGGAAGCCAAGCCGAGGGGAAACCAATTGCTTTGTTAATATTGGAAGAGCTAGAGAGACATTTAAGCACTAACTTTAATTGTAGTATTTAACATGGACTGTTAGGTCTGTATTCTGAATGATGTGATAAAATTGATGCTTTGGTTAGCCATTGATACTCTGCCGGGCTTTTAGTCTTATTTTCTCCCCATTTTGTGAATGGGAAAACTGAGACTTTAAGACTTTGCTTTCTCACTTTTCCCCTTGAAGTCAGTCACTGGTACTTTGTTGTGTCGGAGTCTTAAGCAGCAGGATCCTTTAGTAATGCTCGTCCAGGATCTTAACAGGCTGTTTACAGTGTGCTCCCATATCTCCAATGCAGCCCCTCTTCCTCAGCTCCCTATACTCTTATGAGAAGCACTTCTGACTGATCTTCCTTCCACTTCTGCTGACCTGCAGTCTAGTTGCTGGTGGTCCTTTCAAAATTTGAGCAAAATTTCTTCATTTTTGCTTATAACAAATAATAGCCTGGCCTATTCTACAAATCAGGAACACCTAACTTCACCTTTGGAAGGTAGTTGACTCAGATGATTTTGGCTTTTTGCAAACAGTTTAACTCTTCTTGTAAATGATACTTAAATTATTTAGCTATACTTTATTACACAAATTAAAATTAGATCAAGAGTCCAGATTTTTGTCTTATACTTTTTTTTCTGGTGTAAAAAAAGAACTATAGGCCAAGTGGAGTGGTGTGCACCTTTAATCCTAGCGCTTGGGAGGCACTAACTGCTTTTGCAGAGGACCAGGGTTTGATTCCCAGCACCCACATGGCAGCTAACAACCATCCTCAACTCCAGTTCTAGGGGATCTGATGAGTACTTCACGACACAGGTGCATTTACACACGTGAAGGCACTACACATCACGTAAAAAATTAAGAGGTTGGGCAAGGTGGCACACGCCTTTAATGGCAGCACTCAGGAGGCAGAGGCAGGCAGATTTCTGTGAGCTCAAGGCCATCCTGGTCTACAAAGCGAGTTCTAGGCCACCTGGGGCTACAGAAAGAGACCCTGTTTCAAAAAGAGGATGTGGGTAACTCGGTGTAATGCCCTGAAATCAGTCCCTAGCAAGGAGCCAGGTTGCTTGTTGGTACCATAATGATTTTGTTCATTCTAAGTTTCTTGTTCTTTTTGTAGGTTGTAAAGAAGAAAACTCTTTTTCTGTAAAAATGAAGTGTGATTTTAATTGTAATCCTGACCTTTCTGAACTTAAAGTAGAAAAACCTGATGACAGCATAACACAGGGTTCCTACACCCCTGTGAGCTTGAAACTTTCTCTTAAGAATTGTTTTAAAAACCATGAAAGGTCATCTTTCCTTGAGTCACCAATTGTGAGTCCTACAATTTCGGACCTTGATAATAAGGAAAATGGACGCGTGCAGCAAATACTCAGTATTTCAAGTGAAATAGAAGAGCTAGAGGCCAATAGACTGTGTGAAGACAGTGGCTACTCCTCATTTACACATCACGGCGGACAGGAAGATGGCATCCTTGTCTTGGAGGAGAATTTCAGAAACAGCCCTCAGTCCTGCCTGCTACCATCCCAAAGCCCAGACCAGTATCCCAACAAAAACTTGCTTCCCGTGCTTCATTTTGAAAGAGTAGTTTGTTCAACATTAAAAAAGAATGCCAAGCGAAACCCTAAAGTGGATCGGGAAATGCTGAAGGAAGTTATAGCCAGTGGAAACTTTAGGCTCCAGAACATAATTGGCAAGAAAATGGGCCTAGAGTGTGTAGATATTCTCAGTGAACTCTTTCGAAGAGGATGCAAGCATCTCTTAGCTAATATTTTGACAAAACTCGGTGACATGGACTTAATAAAGTGAGTATTTGAGTATGTCAGTGGCTCGTGCACAACAAACAGCATAGTCTCCCATGTTTAGTCGTGGTCTTTGCTTGTTTCCTGGTATTTCAATCCCTGTGTGTCATCAAAATGAAAAGACAGTTTGTGGAACCCTGTGTTCACTCACTTGGCAATTGCATATTCATACACTTAGAGGCATTCTAGCTCATCTGAAGTGAAGAGTATATGTACTGTCTTTATTAATGGATAATCAGGATTAAGAATGCAGTGCTTCTATTAATGTAATGGGTTTTAAAATATTGATTGCTAATAGCCAAGTGTCCCAGAGTACTTAGAAATTTTCCTACCTTTTATCAACTAGCTAACGTGGTGTCCTGTGTGCAGTGCTGACTGAATTTGGTTATCCACATGACTCTAGAATTACTTGTAGGAGTTTTTGAAAATTTAAGGCTTTTGACCCTGTGATAGTCAAGTTCAATACACCTAGGAGTGATCGTCCCTAAATCTTAAGTGACCCAAGCAGTTTTAATGCTTAATAGGTTGGTGGGGCTGAGTAAGTCTCTCCTTTGTCCTGTCTCTGCTGTATTCATCTTTGTGGTGCTATGTCTCCTTTGTCTTCTAGTTTGTCTAAAGTGAGCAGGATTTGGAAGAAGATTCTAGAAGGCGATAAAGGTGCATTCCAGCTATACAACAAAGCAATGCAAAGAGTCCTTGTAAGTCTTTGTAATTGGTGTTTTCTTCATATGCTGCTGTTAGATTAGAAATAAGTGGGAAACCTTTAAATTCCCAAAGCACTTTAGTTTTCCAGTAGAACTCAATTTCAAACACACCTTGGTAAAATTTGGGAAATCTGTCATGCTTGTACTTAACTAAAATATAAGGTCTGTAAAACAGGTGATGATTTTCATGTAAAATTTGGTCAGTTACAAGAAAAACTAAACTGCTGACCTACTGAAGATTCTTCCTGAATGAACGAATGCATTTATTTTTCCAAATACTTGGTAGTTGTAGATCTGATAATATGAGATTCAAAGTTTCAGCCTTGGAGCTGGATGAGCCTTCAGATTCTGTTGCTAATACTTGCTGGGTAATTTTGGACATAGGTTGCTTAAATTTCCTGTATCCAGGTCTTCATTGATTGGTAACAGTGGCAAATCTACTCTAAAAGGTTGCCTTAGATCTGTCCCTTAAAGTGGGGTGGTGATGAATGCCTATAACCCCAGCACTCAGGAGGCTGAGGTATTAGGCTCGTGAGTTTGAGGCCAGCATGAGCTGCCTATACCTAGTGAGACCTCATCCCAGAGAACTGAAGTGCCTGTTCACAGTTGTTGGTTACACTTACACATAACTGCAGCCCCCTGCTGGCAGTGGGGAGAATGACCCTGTGTCCTGTGGGCAGCTTTGAGTTCTAAATCGGCTCCTCTTAATTTCTGCTTCATACTTTCTGTCAGTTCATTATGAAATGTTTGTATGCACAGTTAGTTTGGCTAATATCTGCAGGTAAATGTGGGGATAAGTAGTACTACCTTCCTGATTAATCCCTGTAACAGTTACAATTGTAGCAAAAGTGCCTGACTTGAATTAAGATAGAAAGTAAGTATTAACAATGTCCCATTAAACCCTTTGCAAGCAGGAAAACAATAAGTTGTCGCTGTGTAATTCAACTAGAGGACATGCCACATGCAGAATCGCATTAACTTCTGTTCAGAAAACAGCCTGGGCTCCTCCCAAAAAAGATGCTCAAACCAAGTTACCCAGTCAACGTGATCAGAAAAGTTCTGCTTACAGTCGGCACAGTGAATTCCTTGAGGTAACTGCTTAATCGGTAAATTATAAAGTTGGAGCAATTACTGTAAAAAGGATTTAAAGTAAGAAATAGAAAGGGTCAAAGTCCAACTTGGCTCTACATGCATCTACTGTTTAGCCTACTAATGAAGACGGGACAGTGCTTGTTCAGATTTATAGTAGGGTCGGAGGGGGTGGGCAGCTTGTGGGCGCTGTGTCTTCTGTCTTCTTCATTTCACTCTCAGCTCTGCATTTTACACTTGCTTCCCTTTGTTCCTGGAAACACCTAAACAGAAAAGTTCTAGCTTTCAGAAATTCAAAGCTTCAAATGCCATCAAATCATTGGGTATGTTAAAACTTCTCATGTGAACATTCTTCCATGTATTGGGGAAGACAGGCTACTCTTCCTAGATTTAGTAACCAAATTTTTTATTTAGTCTTTGGTAAAATTTATATGTGGATTTTTTTTCCCCCCCTAGGTTGCCAAGACATTGAAAAATAACGAAAGCCTCAAAGCCTGCATTCGGTGTAATTTCCCTGCAAAATATGATCAGTATTTAGAGCGGGCAACCTGCAAACGAGAAAGCTGTGGGTTTGAGTATTGTACAAAGTGCCTCTGTGATTATCATAACACCAAAGACTGTTCAAATGGCAAGCTCCTGAAAGCCAGCTGTAGGATGGGCCCTTTGCCTGGGACTAGAAAGAGTAAAAAGAATTTACAAAGACTATGACCTTTTGTTAAATCAATTGTAAATGATCATGAAGGATACTTTTAAAATGTTAGGTTTTAACTTAAAACTGTATTTTTTTTTTCGACTTCTGTAGTGTCTGAGGAGTCTTTCCCTCTGAACAGAGGACATACAACCTCTTAAAATATAGTTTAATAGTCAGAATTTTAAATTGGCCACACAAATGGAAAATTTAAGTGTTTTAAGAAAAGATAAAATGAAACTGGCTCAATTTTATAATAAAAGGACACCATAGAATTTTACCTATAGATGTGGTTCACAGTGTTAGCATTTGAGACATTCTTTTACCAGATGTGTATTAATCCAGTATCAACTTAAGGAGTCTGTTCATTTAAATGTTTTGTCTGTCTGTTTTCTTGTTGCCCTAAACCTTTTTTTCAGTGTTTTCCAAAAAAGTATCTTTTGTAAAGTCTTGTTTTCCTTCTGATGTCTGTTTTATATGTTTATATCTGTAAATATTTCTATTTTTATGTGCCAAAGAAAATATACATATAAATTAATTTTGTTACAAATAAAATTGTTAAGTTCAATAATATGTGGGGTTTTTTTTTTAAAGATATAGCTTTAATTCTGTGCATGGGGTGTGTTCCTGTGTGCAATGCTTGCAGAGGCCAGAGGTGTTAGCTGCCATGTGGGTATTGGGAACTGAACCCCATCTTCTGCAAGTTCAACCGGTGCTCATAACCACTGAGCATCACTCCAGCCCCCAAAGGAACCCAAATCCTTAGGGCCTTGTTTAGGTGATAAGATTCTGGCTTTCAGCTGAAGTTATCATGGGATGAAGCTCTGGGAGACTGAAGAAAGGGTAAGCATTGTTTTAACCGGTGAGAGACATGAATGACCAGACCAGAGAGCTACTATTACAGCTTCCAAAATGGTGCCCAGTTTACTCAGCCTTTTGGTGTAGTCAGTGCAATCCTCTCCCACACTGTATCAGTTGGGTCTCTGATGGATAGAGCATGGTGGATGAGATACTATGTCACTGCTGAAGCTAGGTAATAAATGTGCTTTCTGCCTTTTTTCTATCACTGGGGGAGGGAGCTGTCAGCTATGAGCAGTTGAAGACTTGAAGGCGAGCCATACTGTGAGGAATTGAGGCTTCTTATGACTTCTGAATGCAGACCTCTAGCTTGAGGTGAACCACTAGTCAACTTTGGTCTCTACTGACATCCTGAGTGCATCTAGAGCCACTCAGCCAAACTCCAGAACTGACTTCCCCAAAGCCCTGAGATAGTGAATGTTAGCTGTTTTAAAGCTCTCGGTTTTGGGATCATTTATGTGATAATAAGTGACTACAAAATGGGCCCATGCTTCTGAGAGGAGGACGAGCAGAGGACTTTGCTTGCTCCCATTGGTCAAGTGCACTGATTAATAATGGAGGTCAGGGCTTCTCTGGTTGTAGAATGGATTGGCTTAGAACTGATACTTGGTCCAATACAGAATTGTAGCCCACTCTATGTATATGTGGTCTCCAAAAAAAAAAAAAAAAAAAAAAAACTGG